TAATATTGAGCAATATGTTTAACTTATCCTCAATATAAAGACAAATCTCCTTAGTGACATTGAATCTTTTCCTGCTCCGTGAAAAGTTTCAAACATATTATATCAATTTGTATTAGTTCTGGCCTTGATGAATATGTTTCAAAAAATTTGGGAGCTATCGCCATTACTTGACTTATTCCTCTCCATCCAAGTCTTTATTCTCAATGCTTTTCAAATAATTAATTGTCGCATGCAATAGCTTAAGCAATAAATTATTTCAAAGATTTTGCTTTTGGCATTGTTAATAACAAATCTTTGATGCTATCATTGAATCCATATCAAAATTTATTGATAAGTGCTTTTCCATTCCAATTTACGTCGCAAGCAAGGTTTTTAGAATTCAGTAGCATATGTGGTGGTTGATCATGATCTATTTCGTAAAGATAAGATTTTGATCTCTTCTACTTGTTTTTTATCACTTTCTTCAAATATAGTCGTAAACACTTCCAAGAATGAATTTAAATCATAAAAAAGTTGTGAATCATTTTCCATTAAAGGTGCAAACCAAAAAAGAGCACTTTTAGATAGAAGTGTATTTATGAAATCAACTTGAGTAAATCCATCCACATATTAGAAAGAATGTAATCTTAAGTAGAACTTAACTTGTTGTAAAAATCCTTGAAATTTTGATCTTGTTCCATTAAACTTCTCGGGCATTCTAATTCTTGCCTCTCTTGAGCTTGTAGATGCAATTCTCCTAAATTTGATTATAAGGCTGATCGACTTGTTTCCCTCAACTACACAACTTTTTGACATAGACTCTGGACTTCTTCTATAGATATAGAAGTAGTACTTCCATGGTTGACATTGGTGATGCATGAAATTTCCGCCCTAAGAGTGTTGACAAACTCATGAAGATTTGTAATAGTTGCAAATCTATTCTCACTCCGGCTAGGAGTAGCATCCATAATCTTTCCTTCTATAGACAACTCAAACAAATCCAAAAAGTTAAATTAGAAGAAGGTAATTTACAACATGTAATAAAAATTTCTATAGAGAAGGATAATCTACTCTCTTTAAAGAAAAGATCGGTATTAGAAGATAAGATTTTTTATTTAAAAAGTACATTGTCTGCAACCTTCAAAATACAACAATAGAAGTGGGATAATCGAGTTACTTCTAAAACAAGATAAAAACAGTATGTTAGCACTCTTAACAAACTGTAAAGGACATGAATCTCAAAGAAAGAAAATCCTCAATATACTCTTGTGTCATTGAAGAGAACTAGAAAGTCACTCAAAAAATGATGTAATATTAAACTATAATATCTATTGCTAAAAATAAGAAGACTAGAAAGACTTGAAATAAGACTAAAGACTATAAAGGCATTAACAAGAGTGAAGAAGGCTTTATCTTGCCTCCATATATACTCTTAACTAGAAGCTACGTGGCAATGTCCTATAAGACTTCCAAAACGTGTTGACTTTACTAGCCACATGTCTTAACTTGCAAGGCAAGTTATCTATGTATGTGCCATATAGTTAGCTTGTTCTACAAGCTACTATACGGAGTTAACTTGTTCTATAAGCTACCAACACGTAGTTAACTTATTCGCCAAGTTTCTAACCTACAAACTCATCTAAAGTCAAAACCGCATCTATGAATCTTTTAGGAAGCTTTTCTAGAAGACTTTATGAAATTAAACTATATTTATCTACATCTACCTAATCATATAAGTAACTATTGAGGTAAATATATATTTTTGTGATACTTGAAGGTCATCAAATTAATTGTAAGGACAATAAATTTTATAAAATACATACATTTAAATTTTTGATACATGTCTTTAAAATCTTAATTGAAAGACTATTAAAAATTTTAGATTATAATTATAATTTTTATTTAAATATGAAATATATATTATTTATATATAAATATTGGTATAAATACCTTTTTTTAATAAATAAAAGTATAATTCTTTTGCATATATAATATAACTACTATTTATTTATTTTAGATGATTCAAGAAGGATTTAAGAATATAAAAATTTTATCTATTTAAATATCATACTTTTATAACTATAACTATCTAGTATATCAAAATTTATTGAAGGTTTAATAATATCTTTAAAAAATAAGATTTAACTATCTATAACTTTTATATATACATATTTAATTTTTTATATCAAAGATATCTTGTGATACTTAGCTATTTTTTTATAATAATAAAAAATAATTAAAATCTTTAAAAGTAATATGATAGAAGTAAAAAATTATATAATATTTATGTCTTGAATATTTCTATTAATTAAAAAAAATATAGAAAATATATAAATTTTATAAAAAAATTATCATATAGGAATTAAGTTGTTTAATCTCTTATATTCGAACTTATTTTATAAGATGTTATCTTCTTTTGAAAATACACTCTTATTTAATAGTTGTGAATTTTTTGTGGCAATAATGGATAGAATAATTAGAGTCTTTAAAATATAGACATAAAGCATGTTTTAAACATTAAGTCTTAACTTAAAATTTAAAAAGATTAAATAAAAAATATCAACATGCATGATTTTTATTCTTCATAAAAATTATTTAAAATTTATAACTATTATTATAAAATTTTAAAATATTATTAAATAATAATGATTTATTATTAAATTCTTGAATTATAATTATTATTTTATATTTGATAGCAAAATACATCACTTGATTTAATACTTTATTATTTTGATTTTAGCATATTTTTTTAAAAAATTATAGCTATATTTAAAGTATAATTTTGAACATATATTTTTTTCATTAATAAGTTTATTTTCTTCATTTATTAAATAAAATTTAAATTTGTAAGGATTATTATATTCAATCAAATGCATTATTTTTTTTGGCAACTAAATCATTTTTTTAGATATGTAAAATACATTAAGCCATGCTACAAAAAAATAAAATATCTTGCACATTCATATGGATATGATGTTATTAAGAAAGTATAAGTTCTATTTTGAAGCTTATTATATATATATATCAAAAGAAATCTTTATTTCTTATTTATAATATCTATCTAAATCAATTATAAACCATTAATTATAACAAGACATTGATACAAAATATGAATATATTTATAATTATATATATGTGATTTTTTTCTATGTTTGATTTACTAATTTTATTCTATATTATTTTTTGATTTTTAGAATTATAAAAACAAAAATTACTTAGATTTTTGTAATCATCACAACATTAAATCTAGAATAAATATTTTTAAGAATTCTCTTTTTCTTCTAATACTTTATTAAGTATAATATATTTGATAATATGCCCTCAAAAGGGAGTTTTGGAGCTTCATATTACTATTAGAGGTGGATATTGTACAAAATTGCATTCTACATGAGAAATTTTAAATGACATGTGTATATATATATATATATATATATATATATATATATATATATATATTCAAAACTTATCTTTCTCTTATATAAGAGATTTTATTTATAAATCAAAAGATCTATCTATCACCTTTTTATAAAATATAAATTAGAATCATTTTATCAAATGTCATTCAATAGATCTTAAATTTTGTCTAATTAATAAGTTGTTTAGCATTAGAATTATTTTTGAAGTCATTTTGAAGAAAGAAGTAATATTATTGATACATATATTGATTAAATAAATAGAAGTAAATAGTAGTAGATATTAATATATTAGGTAGAAAATAGTAATAGATATTAATATATTAGATAGATAATACATTTCTTATAAAACATCAAATATACTTTTGAGACATAAATTAGACCTATAAGTGCACCATGTGGATATAATAGTTTATCTAAAATACTTTGTACTTTTCAAATGTCATTACAAAAGTGTTTTATAATTTGTATGCTCAATTTATAGGTCTTGTAATCTTTTGATAGGTTCTACATGGCTTTTCTTACTAGTTTATATACATTAATGCTAGCATACAACTATTCTAATTTTATTTTTTTATTCTACTTTTAGTTTAAAACTTTATTGATTTTTTATACTTAATATGTATTTAAAAATCTATATTTAAAAGAGTGATATAAGAGTAGTTGTAAAGAAAGTCTAACAAGCTAGACCAAGGAGATTTTTCTTTGTAAATAGATCATATATTGGATAAATGTAAAATTTTATTTGTATATACTTCAATAGTTGAATAAATACAAAAGTCGGTTCTTAATTTCATTTTAAAAGTTTTTATGTTAACTAATATAAGTATGATTTGGATAAGATCTAAAAAAATTAAGAATGCGAGTTACTTGTGCTTAGTTTGTTAATAGTAAATTTAGAAAATAAAAACATTAAGAGAAATTAAATGTTTTTTAAACAAAATTCACACTAACACACAAATCTACTACAAGAAGAAGCTCCATAGTTTTCTATAATTTTTTTTATACTTTTAAAATAATATTTCCCTATGATTTTATTAAAAAAACACTTTTGTTTATGCTTTTTAAAGAAACATATGTTTTCTTCAAGTACAGAATTAACTCTCCTTGTTGTACAAAACTACAGTTTGTGATATATAATCAATTATATATGTACACAAATACATAAATTTACATGGATGCATACAACATGTATTTAAAAAATGAAACAAAAATCATACTACACTCTGATTTTTGAATCATTTACTTTTTAATCTGATTTTAAAAAAAATGCGAATGCGTACCCATACATCCACCTGAAAACGATCATCCACATCCACCCACATCCACCCACATCCACCCACACAGGCACCCACATCCATCTAAACATCCATCCACACGCACCCGCCCATCTATCCATCCATCCATCCTGCTCGCGGCGACAGGGACCGGAGTACGTCAGCTTGAAAAGGAGAGCGGGGAGGTGCCCAGGCAACAGACAGACGGCTAGATAGGAAAGCATCTATCCATCCATGAGATCCGCATCATCGTCCATATGGCCCCGTTTCATTCATTCATCCATTTACGGCGACGAGGCCGAAACGGAGGGCCCAAGGGCGAGCTAGCTCAGTCACGCTGCATCCCCCTCCTCCTCCCCCGTCCTTCTGCTGCTGCTCCATCCTTCTCCTTTTCCTTCTTCTTCCTCTTCTTCTGCCGCTGCTGCTGATGCAGGAGCGTGAATAGGGTGCTAGAGCAGCGGGCATCGCGTGGGTGGACTCCTCACTCACTCCCCCTTTACTTCTCCTCCTCCTCCTTCTCACCACCACCACCACCACTCGTCAGAGAGAGACGGAGAATTGTAGTAGTGATAGTAGCAGTGCTTTCCTGCCTACCTGCTTTCCCCTTCCCGCATCTCTCGCTTCGTTTCACTTCTGTATTCGATACTCCCCCCACCTGTTGCTACGTTCTGTGTGTCCCTCCCGCTAGTGCTTCTCCATCATGCCCGCCTTGCATGGAGAGCGTCTCTTCACCTTCGAGGAGGGCGAGCAAGAGAGCGAGTATGGCTATGTCCGCAAGGTACCTACTACTACTGTCCCCCCCAACCCTTCTTCTTATATCGATCACCCTCTCCTGTCTCTACCTCTAGTGGAATTCTGATGCAGGGGAACGAATCTGTGTGTGTGTGTGAGAGAGAGTTAAGTGGATGCTTGGATCCGGTGTGAGAATTTGTGGCAGTGTTATTTGTGTTTGTTGGTTCTGTGATGCATATTCAGAGGTGCGGTGAGTTCAGTTGAAGAATCATGGGTGTGAAGGTACACTGCAAATACAGTTGGGCATTTATTTGTTTGTTCTTGTTTGTTTTTGTACTGCCGAAATCTCTGTCTTTGTACCTGGATCGGCAATCACCGCGTCGTGCTATATATATATATATATACATATATATTTATCATATTCTGTAATGCTAGTCAGTGTTTCGTTGAGTGCGGAGGGTTTCGGGAAGGGCGTGTGTCAGAGGTTTTTGCTGTATTCTAAGGGCTTAGTTATTGCTGACAAGTGCTTAGATTTAGATTCTACGAGCTTTGATCGTGTGCTTTTGAGTCCTGGGGTTAGTTTACACATCGAATTTGAAATTTGGAATTTGAACTTTGTACGTGTTTTGACTCCTCAATTGCCGTGAAATTCATTGAATATTCAAATTAGGGTTGAAGTGTGTCATGTCTGAGTTTCTTTTCGTGCATCCTTGTCTGTAGAAACAACTAAGATCGTGTGTGTCAGAAACTGTCTCATATGTTGCTTTGCAACTGAGTAGTTATCTCTATTTCGTCTCAAGCCCTCATTGATTAGTTACCCGGCTGTTAAGTTGCCGTCTCAACCGATTCTGTGGAGCCAAACGTACCACCCTTAGTATAGAAATCAGCTGGACTTTTATTCACGCTCTTTAGATTGTTGAAACTTCTGAACGGAAACGAAAATACGTTACTTTCGTGCCCCATAGTGACAGAACTTTTTTTGTGTGACATCGTTCGTGCACTTACATAAATACATATTTTTTCGCTCGTTCTGCAAGTTTATCTTGCCAACGAACACGAAAGTTATGGTACAGTGTCTCACGGTCAACACACCCGCGTCCGATATTACTGGTATGCATAGGAAATAATAGAGCATATGGCCATTGTTTTGGACGATTCAAATGTGCAAAATTTGTAAAGTTTGGAGTCTTAGGCTTGTCATTTGATTAAATCACCTTATTGAGGGACGCTGCATAACCGTGTGTGCCGCATTAGACTAATAGTGCCGTATGGAGTAGGGTACTTTACAGCAGTATTCTAATAGTGTGTAAAAGCTCTGATGGCTTAAGATTTGGGTGATGCTCACTGTTGCATTTAAATTGTGTCAGGTGTCCGGGCCAGTGGTGGTGGCTGATGGAATGGGAGGAGCAGCCATGTACGAGTTGGTCCGTGTAGGACACGATAAGCTGATTGGAGAGATTATTCGTCTTGAGGGTGATTCAGCTACCATTCAAGGTGCGGAGAAGCTTTCAGTCGATGGAATTTTTGGAATGAACGGATTAGTTAGTCCAAGCACATTTCTTTCTCCATTAAGTCTTCGTTGTTTTATCGGCGTTTACTTCGACAGATGTATTGCGTCTGAAAACTGGCATGATTGTCAGTTTTGAAGCTACAATAGTGCGGCTCTATTAATTTACCGTCATGGAGGTGGTTTTGTTTGTTTTTGCTTTTTGCTTTTTGTTTTTTTAGCAGTAAATAATAATGTTGGAGATTATTGTGCAGTCTACGAAGAGACAGCAGGCTTGATGGTCAATGATCCGGTTTTAAGGACACGCAAGGTAATTTGTACCAAAATTTTGAACGTGTTCATTGACTCGTCTTTTAACTGTATTTATGATTATTTATTTTTACTTTTATTTTTAAATACTGGATACGAGCACTATCAAACTTCTCATGGTTTTACTATAAGCACCATATTACACCCTTCGTGGTCATCGTTGTGCAATAACTAGGTGTTGGCATGGATGCAATATGTACATGTTTATCTGTGTAAAGCTATGTTCATATATTTTTTGAATGCTGCAGCCTCTTTCAGTTGAGCTTGGTCCAGGTATATTGGAGAACATCTTTGATGGAATTCAGGTATAGTTTCAACTCATCTTGATAGTAACGCTTATTATGACTTTTGTGATGGTAGTTGGTCTAACCTATTGTCGGAACAATTTGCTGCCAGAACATTGATGAGATGTGGTCATTGCTGATTCCTTATTGTAGGTTCTTTCACTAAAACTTAGAAGTAACTTGAGCTTATGTAGTAAACAATATTGAGGCCGTTTGCTCGATGGAGTGAAATCAGCAAAGTAATTGTAAGCCAAATTTTTCTTTGGCATGACCTCTTTACTTTGTACTTCTCTGTTTCAGCGACCTTTGAAAGCTATTGCACTTCAGTGTCAAGATGTGTACATCCCTCGTGGAGTTGCAGTACCTGCTCTCGATAGGAAAAGACAATGGGAATTCAAACCTAAAGGCTTGAGTAAGTTTTATACTTCGCTGTCCATTTTGGGCTTTCTACCAGTCTGAACACCATGCATTGTTGGATCTTCCAATGAACATAGTGGAAAGATGTCCTCATACTCCTACAGTGTTTGCAAGGTTTTAATGAAACGCATTTCCATAAGGATTTTGGTTCCAGTGCAAAAGCCTATTATTTGTAGTCCTGCTTCACTCTTATGATTGCAACTTACATTTCTCATCGATTATTTATATACTTGGAAAAACTAACCCGTTTTTTTGTTAATATGTTAGGTATTGGTGATGCGATTACGGGAGGTGATTTATACGGAGTAAATGCTTTTCCTTTCATGCTTTGACTGATCTAAGATTGAACTAGAATAACTTATTACAGCTTTCTCAAGTCAGGAGGTTGACCTCTGCTCTAAGTAGATTTTCTTGTGCTAGGACTGGGTATATGTCCCGGTACATGATGCTTTACATACCTATCTATAGAGTTTGCGGTGTATGAATCTGGACAATATTATGAGATTGACCATATTTTGCCTTGATCTTCATGGGCTGTGCAGACTGTTTTTGAGAACAGTTTGATCGAACATCACCTCGGATTGCCACCTGGTGCTATGGGGAAAATCACCTATATTGCTCCTGAGGGAGAGTACTCTATACAGGTAAGTCTTTTGTGAACGTGCATTTGCAGAGTGTTGTGGCGCGTTTTACTTCGTTCAAAGAGGCGGTTATATATTAGACTACACCTTAGATATATCACCTTACGTTTCTTTTAGTTCACCTTACTGTTCTTTATTAGAAGGGAACCTCTGTACACGAACTTATTGAGAACCTAATCTGGAACATCTGATATTTGAATAGGATGAAGTTATTGAACTGGAGTTCCAAGGAGAAAAGAAAAAGTTCACCATGCTTCAGGTAAAGTTTAATAAATTGTCCATTAGTGCTCTCTTTTGGTATTAAATCTTCACATGAATGTCTTGCAAATATCACTCTTTTGATAGTTCCGCATTTTTTCTAGCTCAGACCTCTATGCACAAAGTAGCCTTGAGTTTCTTGTCACTTTTAGTTTACCCTTTTCGAAATTATCTTTGATCTTTCTTTGTCGGTTACTAACTGTGCTGTTTCTGTCCTGAAATTAGGCCTGGCCTGTGCGCACACCAAGACCTGTTGCTGAGAAGCTGGCAGCTGATACTCCGTTGCTCACTGGTCAGGTATGTTGTATCTTACGGATTTACAGATGAACGCGGAGAATCTGTTGATGATACAAAGTAAACTTTCATGGGTTGTTGGTTTGTTAACTTATAGTCATTGTGGTTTCAAATTCATGACTGAAGTATATTTATATGTTACTTACATGTGTGCTGTGAATATCTCAAGTATTTTCTCTTTGTTGATTGTTGTCCCCTTTGCAGCGTATACTGGATGCTCTATTCCCTTCTGTTCTTGGAGGTACTTGCGCCATTCCTGGTGCATTTGGATGTGGAAAGACTGTCATTAGTCAAGCGCTCTCTAAGGTAGTTGGTTACATCTGTTTGGATTTTTCGAAGTTCATTTCGCATCATACATTTTTTCTTTTTCTTTTCTTTGGTTGTGTATTTAAGCTGCAGAAACTATTGTTTGAAGTTTGTATGAAAGTTCTGGAACGAGGCTTATTTTTTGCAAATTTGTTTGTGTGCAGTACTCCAACTCCAATGCAGTTGTTTACGTCGGCTGTGGAGAGCGTGGAAATGAAATGGCTGAGGTTTCGTAATGTGACCATAACTTCCTTGCTCGTAATCAAATTGTTCATCTTTGCGGATGTTTACGAATCTGACTCAGGGATTCTTCCTATTGCAGTGGGGTATCTCATGAACTCAAAGTTTGCTTCTCCAAATTTATGTAACCAATTTGTTTGGCTTGTGGTGTGTAGGTGCTGATGGATTTTCCACAACTGACGATGACCTTACCCGACGGTCGGGAGGAGTCCGTCATGAAGCGTACTACGCTTGTGGCCAACACATCAAACATGCCTGTGGCTGCTCGTGAAGCATCTATTTATACAGGTTTCCTCCTTTTTATTCTCTCTAAAGTTTAAGTGTTCATTGCTGCGGCACCTCATCTAGATAATTTCTCAAACGTTTTCATCGCTTCCTTGGAATTTTCGCATATAATTGCGTCCTTTCTACATTTGCTCTGAAGATTCTGTTTTCTGTTGCAGGCATTACTTTAGCAGAGTACTTCAGAGATATGGGGTATAATGTCAGTATGATGGCTGACTCTACGTCTCGCTGGGCAGAGGCCCTTCGAGAAATTTCTGGACGACTTGTATGTTTTTGCGCCTTGTACTCTTATTAGATTATTGTTGTTTGAACTTCTACTAGTCAATTTTTTGAGGCATTTTAAGATTATTCCAGTGGCTGTTCAATTTACTTCATTTTTACATTGTATTATCCTTCAGTTAAGGTAGGAACGGAAGATGAGGAAATGCTCTTCAGATATCATGTTTTTCTTATTTCCAACTGTATGTGGTGCTGCAGGCTGAGATGCCTGCGGACAGTGGTTACCCAGCTTACCTAGCTGCAAGATTAGCTTCTTTCTATGAAAGAGCAGGGAAAGTTAAGTGTCTGGGGAGCCCGAACCGGACTGGTAGTGTTACCATTGTTGGAGCTGTTTCACCTCCTGGTGGAGACTTCTCAGACCCTGTAACTGCAGCTACTCTTGGTATCGTTCAGGTTGGTATTTACTTCAGAATGTTGTGTTCTTCTCTAGTTAATAATTATATGGGAAAGCAAGTTATCTTTTTAATTATACTTCAACAGTAAGGACTAAAATACGTGGGGATTCAGGTGTTTTGGGGACTTGACAAGAAACTTGCACAACGTAAACATTTTCCAGCTGTGAATTGGCTCATTTCGTATTCAAAGTACACCCAGGTATGGCCTTTCCCTGAACCGATTCAGTTCTGTTGTTTGGAAATAAATACATCTTGAGATGTACTTTCAAAATGACCATCTTTGAATGACTCTCTCACACACACACATTGATTGATTGATCGTTCCGTGCATTTGGTGGAGAAAATGAACTGTTAAACAAAACTTTGATTCAGCTGTTGGTGACGCATTTTTACATGTTTGGATCATCAACGCTTGACGTTCGCTTATTCTTTGTTACAGGCTCTTGAAGGTTTTTATGAGAACTTTGACTCTGATTTTATTGGGATTAGAACAAAAGCTAGAGAGGTGTTGCAGCGAGAAGATGACTTAAATGAAATTGTGCAGGTAAGGCAAATGCAGTTTGTGCCACATTGTTCTTTCTTGTTTTACATGTTTCTGGTCAGAAATGCTCATATTTTTATATGTTTTTTGTTTATTTATATTTGTTTCAGCTTTTGTGAATTCCGTCGAATTTATCTTAACTAACGTTTTTCCATCTGGCCATTCCTGTCTAACCTTTCTGGGTTACAGCTTGTTGGTAAAGATGCCTTGGCAGAAACAGATAAAATTACTCTGGAAGTTGCTAAACTCTTGCGTGAGGACTATTTGGCTCAGAACGCTTTCAGCACGTGAGTTTAAGTATTTTGTTGGCTACTTTTACATGCTAAAGTACCTTTCCGTTAGAACAGTATCATCTTATTGCGGTTGAAAAAATTGAAGTAAGCACTGTGTATTGCGATGCACTTTGCCTTGAATAGATTGGGGGTAGAGTGTCAACATACCTTGAATGTGATTTTGCATGTGCGTATCTGACATGGGCTTGTCATGGGTGGCAGTTATGATAAATTTTGCCCATTTTATAAGTCGGTGTGGATGATGCGCAACATTGTCCACTTCAACACTCTTGCCAATCAGGTCTCGTTTTGCCCATAAATTTTAATGTGCATCAGTTAGTTTTGTTTGTTACTTGTTTTAGTGGTGAATGTGATGATTTTTATGTATTCTCGCACGGAATTGTTTAAAAATTCTTGTTAACTTTTTTCCTTTTGTCAAGAGCTAAACATTGTTTTAAAGCATGGTGCTATCAAGTTTTTCTCTACATCAACGTTTCTGACAGAAAAACGTCTTGTGGAACTGTAGTGAGTGTAGATGTGTTTTGAGATTAATGGTCAGCATTGGTATCTTTCGTTTAATAATCTCAAATCAAACGCTGTCTGCAGGCTGTTGAGCGAGCTGCTGGTCCGGAGGGGCAGAAAATTACGTACAACATCATCAAGCAGCGCTTGAATGATCTCATCTATCGTCTTGTGTAAGATGTCCTTTCATTTTCACGGTCCTCGACTGTGATTTGGTTTGCTCTATTTTTTTATTTTTTATTTCCGAAAAGAGGTATGTAAAATTTATTCTTTTGATTAACATAGTATCATTTGAGTGGTCAGATCCATGAAGTTCGAGGATCCCTCCGATGGTGAAGATGTTCTGACTGAGAAATACAAGAAGCTGTATGATGATTTGACGGCCGGGTTCAGGAATCTCGAGGACGAATATCGCTAACTTGCGAGACTACATAAGTTTCTCTTTTAGGCACTGCTAGATGAGTGTTCCAATACTTTCGTGTAAAGCGAATTCTTGTAATGGTGTGCAATATATGAATAGATTATCTGCCGCAAATAACGTCGCTGAGTGCCAAGGGGCTACGTCGTGCGCTTGTTTCGTATATTTCGTTTGTCAAATGTATTATTTCTTTGTTGTTGGTCTTCTTGATTCTGGTATGTACAACTGCACGAAACGCGTCTGGTAGGAAGCTGTCACCAATCAAACTGAATTCCAAACAATAGAGGTTCTTAACAATCCTTCGTTTTGAAAATAAAGATTACACTGCAGCATTGTGAGGGCTATGTGTGCCAAATTTAGTTGAATGCGTTTTTGTCGTATTAGAGGCACCGGATGTGCAGAATGGAAAGCTGGCTGGCCTCTGAATAACGATCCCTACGTGTGGCATACATACATACATACATTCATATGTTAAGCCTGTTATAGTTTTAAACAAGCATTATTCCTTGGCAAATGAGCAAGTTTGACTTGGTGAGTTTATGTCCAGCACAATTCGGGGTTGAAACAGTGGTCAGAAATTTAATCACATACCTCAAAAAGACATATCACATCCAATCCTATCCAATAATACTTTAATAAATTACTAGAATCATCTGAGATAAATTTTGAGTATATTGCAATTCTAATCTACTTATTAAGGATCTTATATGGCTTGCATGAGTTCAAGTCCTCAAACCTCATTCAACTTCACTTGCAATGCTCTTAATTGAAGTGTCAAAAGAACATTGTCATCAAATTTGAAAACCTCCCATCAATGTCAATAGGCTTATTATTTAGAGACAATCCACCAGTTGCCTCAAGTTAAGAAAATTTTTTAGTGTCATTGATCAATCATAATAAGAAAGCTTTCTTGAGATCCAGACTCTATACAAACAATATTCAATATTTTATGTGAGAATATTTGTCTAGAGTTTAGAACTCAACTTTGACTAGCAATAGAAAATGCAATGCAGTATCGAACAAGTGTAAGCTTACAACGATGTCTTAGATTGCATCATTTCCATCTGCTACCCTTCATATGCTCTACTCATCCTTTAAAGCTCGGCATGCATTGTTGCAAGACCTAATTGTGTTAACAAAGCAATCCTATCTGATTTCTTAACTCATAAGCTCATGACACACGATGGCTACCATTCTAAAAGAAAAGATTCCATGTCATAGAAGATTCATGAAAGCATTTTGAAGAACCTTGCCAACGACAATTGTGTTCAGCTTAGATAGTTTGTTATAAGATCAAGAAGAAGTAATTGAATTTAACACCCCATGTTTGAGCTCATTTGCAGAACTACAGTACCTACAATAAGCTTAGTTGCAAACAACACCATATTGTTCTACACACACAATACAAATAAATTTCTATTCTTAATAATTCCTTTCTACAATTGTACAAAATAGGAGCTCATAGAGCAAAACACTCCAAAACGAAGGTTTTTGCAATACCCTAGCTCTTTGCAAAACATCCTATAGTTCTCATGCTTACTAATTTCTGAGCTTCCAATGCGACCCACTTCGCTTTTCTTGTAATGAAGGTGCCATATTGAGATCATTGTAGCTTCAAACATCTCAAAGCTAACTGATTAAGGAGGTGACAATGTGAAGTGGAGTAATATTTAGGAAAAGAATTGCTGAAGGATGTGAAAAATTGCTTTAATTGCTCATAATTACAGCTTTTATTTGTATAACAAATGTGGCATTGAAGGTCATTTAATTCTTCATATAAATCATTTTTTTTTTTTTTTTTATATATGTCATGCTTTTTCAATCTAATTAACTGCAATTGATAAGTTGTCTAGCATAGCCTTAAAATTGTAGAGTCTATATAAGTCCGGATGTATTAAGGCTTGGATTGCATGTTAATGATACAAATGCTCCTTAAGTACATTGTTTGGTTTTGACAATTGAAAACCTCTTCATAATTTGCCTTTGGTTGTAGGCTGTAGATACCAATTGTAACATGCTCAAGAAGTTTATTTTGGACTCCAAGTGTATTGAGATGAACGGTGTGTTGGTGATCGGCTGGGATTGTCCACAACAACAAATGCTTTGACTATAATGTGTGAATATGTGCAACAAAGCTTTGCAAGTTGTTGGCCATAATTGTTCTTTATTGTAAACTTTAGCTTTATATAGCTTTCAAAAATTAATAGAGTAGCAAGTTTCTTATTCATACAATTCATCATATAATTAACAAATTGCATCAACCATTTTTTTTTTTGATAGTTTATATAATTTTATTTTGATGAATCATGCATTGATGCTTTCTTCCAAGACTCGTTTCTTTCTGGATAATATCATTATGAATAGAAGTTTGTTCATCCATGATATTAAATCTCTTAGTTTAAAAAAATTACAAACTCTAGCAAAAATACCTACTATGCATATTTTTTTTGTGAACATACCACTTCTGCATGAAAATCCAATTTTTTAAAAAAAAGTGCAGAGTGATCTATGCTCATGAACAAGGTCTATTTATGTAGTCATAATATCTTTTATTGACTCACACATTTTTCATCTACAAAAGTCATGTGGCTATAAAGAGAGGATGCAAAAAGTTAAAAAAAGTCACATTGAGTGACTCATACTATGTAGGTGACCGTAGCCTAGTAGCCATTGCTAGGTGGTGTTCCCAACTTGAAGCATTGGAAATAAACCATTGTCATAACATTCGAACTAAAAGGCTTGAAGTTGTGAGCCATTCTTGTCTATAGAAAAAACTTCTTTTACAACATAATGAAACATCAATATTTTATAGTTCTTCATGCCATATGTTGAGGTTTAGACTTACATCAATTTAAAGTGAAGTAATGATTATTAATTGTTGATACTCCTAGAAGATGTTTTGTAATTGATGAAGGATCTTTTTTACTTATCGGTCACGTTTTGCAATTGAATAGACACTTTGATTTGTTATTTTCTTTCTGAGGGATTTTCTTTTCTAACTTGATGTATTTTGTTGGAAGAAACTTCAAGAGCTTATTATAATTATTGTTTTACTTATTCTACAAATTCTTTTCAAAATAAATCTATAGAGGGGGATTCAAATGCAGGGAAAGACTAAGCGCATGAGTTCTACTTGTTAGGGTCACACAATTAACCATATTCCAAACCATTGAAAACACCAAGGAACACCTTAATATTTTCTACTTCCTAATAGTACTCTATCATCACTAATAACAACAATGTATAACCCTACTCTACCCTTAAAGACACTACATAATCATTCCATAATCCAAACACTAGAATCCTTCACTACTAACAGTCCTTCTAAACATAATTCTTTACAAAATCTCACACTCTACAGACTCCTTCTAATGAATTGCTCTCAATTTCCAATACTCAATGTATTACAATCCTTCCATTCATATCCATTCTTCACAAATATTTCCAATTATTCTCTTTCAATTCACCACTGTATAACTCAACATTCAATAAATCGAATTCTTTCTTTGATAATATTGAATCTTTTTTCATTCCAGAATATTACTTCACATTTTTGAGAAACTATCCATAACTCTTCTTCTACAAAGAAAACAAAATCTAAGAAATAAACAAAGAAAGAGGTAGAAAATTCGATGAAGTTAATCTGGCCATACAACTCTTTTATACTTTTTCTTGATTTTTTAGATTCTAACTATAATTTTGTAATTAATCACTTTTAATAACTAAATCAATCCTCCGTCCTCTTGAATTACCTATTCTATAGACTAATAGTATATTTTACCAATATCTTTCAAAAAAAAAATTAATATCTATTCTATACTTGTGCTAAAGTATTGTCAAAGAATTGACAATGAAGGACTTGTGGAAGTTGAAAAAGGTTGCAATCAGCTCCAAGCCTTGCATTTGGTTGATTTTTCATTAATTGGTGATTTTTCAATCCACAATATTGCTCTTGGTTATCACCTACTATGACGTTTATACATTTGATACTATTACAAGGTAGATATTGTCATTCTTACTTCCAACACCTAGAAATTATAAGTTTTGAATCTATGTGATATTATTTTACACATTGTACTTGTATGACTTCTTTGCCTATTTATAATGTCCATATTAGTGATTAAGGTATAGGTGCATTTGGAATCCATTGAGAGAAGGTGACAAATCTTAGTCTTCATTTCTGTAATAGGTATCTTTTAATCTGTTGTGGACATTCATGATTTTATTTGACTTGGTGAATGTCTTTGTTTGTGAATCTTCATTCCATCACAAAAGAGTTCATGTTCAATTAGTTTATTTATCTTGTTTATGTCATTGGATGCTGACTTAGCAGAATAGAAAATAATGCCTTAATTGCAATAGATCAAAGGTGTTACTAACTATGGCTGCTTAATGTGAATGGATGCCATCGAGTGGATGATGTAGGATTAACCAACATTGCTCAAGGATGCCTTCTTTTCATGCACCTTGATATCAATGTTTGTCAGATACATTTACTATTAGACTTAAATATATCATGGTATGATAATACTTCTTAAATTTTCATCACCTTCATTGTTACAATAGAACAGTGTTTGACGTTATTATCATCCCTATGATTTTTTTGAAATGCATTGCAACTCTTGAAATGTTGCCTCCTTTGGTATAGAATACAAGAGATATAGGCCTTACGGCTTTGGGAACAGGTTGCTCTCTTCTTAAGGAGGTCATTCTTTCACACTACCAAAAAAAAACAATGTAGGCTTAGGCCAATTGGTATAAAATTGCCAAACTATAGAATCATGTCATATGATGTAGTGTCCGTGTATAACCTGAGTTAGCGTGGCCATAATACTTGCTAGCTATAATTTACTCAAAAAGGTTACAGTTGAGAAGTGAAAAATTACTGATCGCACTCGAAAAAGACATGCTACTATCTTAATAGAGCTTTGCGTAGAGCAATGATTAAGTTTCCATTTCTATTAATGGTAGGAATTGCTACACTTGGATTAAAAGAAGGCTTCATTCCTATAAGAAAAACATCATTAATACAAGAGAGATAGTGGATTTTATGAGGTTCAAGTACGACATTTTTTTACAAAAAGAATATATTCTTCAATTTTGACATAGCTTGTATAAACA